TAACCAACGAATAACATTTCACGATAGTCAAAAACCTAATACGTACATATGAGAAAAGTATTGATCATAAGTGAGAAAAACGCATTAGCACCCTTTGTTATAGTGAAAATAAAAGACAAAAAATATGATTAAAACTAAGCTAGCTATATAGATCAAAACTGTAATAATAAATTGTGAGTGCTTATACAAACTTATACGTATTTTGGTATTTCGGACTTCTCAATTTCAACACAAAAATGCGATAACAAATTCTAATATGTGTAAGTCGCTAGTAAAAGGTTTACGGCCAAATTTTGTCTTTAATGTTAATAAAACTTGTACCTTATTTCCCCGAAAGGGGCCGAAGGCTGCTTGGAGAGGTCATCTGTTTTAACCACTTATAGTACTATATAGTAGTGTGTTGTCTGTTAGTCAATCAGCAGACACTAATATGACGTTGCATAAGGAACGCTTAACGTTGCAATTTGTACTGTCGTGACGTCAGTAAAACATGCGCATGCCATGAATCACGAGAAGAATTATACATTCTGTAGGCTATAACACAGCATGATATATATGAAAAAGCAATAATTAAAAATATTTGTTACTCTTAATTTTGGTTTTATTTATTCTTGAAGCAAAACACTTTGGAGGACTCAGCGCAAGTACATCTAATATATATAATGTGGAAACAGATAATTTCTGCATACGTTCGTAAGGCGGTAGTCTAGTTGGTCAAACTTTACGTGTTAACTTGAATCAGAGTTCGATTTCAGTTTTCACCTCTTCAAAAATTCTGATTTCGCATTATTTTTATCACTAAGAATTTCTATAGTAACATTGCATTAAGATCTTTCGCATTAACTATAATCGCTACAGATGCACGAACAAACAAATTATTACATATTTCGTTACGTTTTACTGTTGAAATTATGTTGTCTTATATTCGCTAAGTATGGTTTTTGGCTTAAAAGCTGACTTACAAGCAGGTTTCGCAGGTTTTTTATTATTGAAATTGATTATTGTCATTTGCAAGCTAAATAAATTAGGAATAGAGACATCACGTAGAAAAAATAACTAAAGATTGTTTGTTTTTAATTTCGCGCAAAACTACTATAGGGTTATCTGCGCTAGCCGTCCTTAATTTAGCAGTGATAGACTACTTGAAAGGCAGCTAGTTAACACGCTCACCGTCAGCTCTTGGGCTACTCTTTTACCAACGACTAGTGGGATTAACTGTCACATTATAATTCTCTTACAGCTGAAAGGACGAGCATGCTCGGTGACAGATATTCAAACCCATAGACTGCGAGTTGAGCACCCTAAAAACCAGTCGACGCCAGGCCTTAATAACTAAAGAAAGAAGCTTCTGTAATTTTTTTGCTATAATCAAAACGAAATTGTCCAAAAGTTTCAAAACAAATATGGTGCGTTTTTCTAAATAAGTCTCTGTTCCAATTAGAAGAAAATATTCGTAGTTCTTAAAATCATGTGGTCTAGTGATCATATATATATATATATGTGAATATGAAACAACATATATATGCATCTTTATACAAAATACAACATTCTATGTGCTGATACAAGCTCGCGAGTTGAAAACTATAACAATTCGGTTATGGCAGGTGCTAGATTCTTCTCGTGTGAATGTTTTAGTGGAGAGAAAATGGGAAAAATGGTTTTAATAGAAAAATATATATATACTTAGTACAAAGTATGTTCTTATCAGAAGTTTCAAATGGGGGGGTTAAGCCTATATGATAAAAATTGAATTTGTTTAACTTTTCATACCTTTATTATTTTATAAGAATGATTTGAATGTTTTCTTTGTGAAATAACTCACGAATTTGTTTATACTCTGTATTCATAATTCTAGCCGTGTAAAGGTTTGTCTCCCGACAATATCAAGACATATTTGTAAAGTGTACAAACTTCTCGTCAGGGTCGCAGTTGGGCAAACGTTAACTGCCTGAACTGTATTGAATAATAGCTGAATTGTCGTAATCATCGCCATACCAGTATATTCCGGCTTATGGTTTAAAAAATATTATTCCAATAACTGTAATGCACAAGTAACGCCTGACTAGTTTAGGCTAGTAGTTTCTAATTATTGAGTATATCTTGATACTCACAACTGACTGACGTAAGTATCATGATCACTGACCAGTGCCGTACAGACGTTTGATGGCACCCTGTGTGAAACTAGCGTTCACACCATTCACAGCCTTGCCACTAACTCTACCTAGTTTATTGGTGTGAGCTATATATATATGTATATGTATATCGTATGTTGTTAGATCACAAAACTGGAAGAAAGCACACGCAGTAATACCGAGTACATTTTAACACTACAGTTATATATCAGTGACTCCATTATGACTTGACTACATATTTCATTTGTATATAATTCTCGTCGCCTGATGTTTGAATTTGTTACATAAGTAATTATTATTTGTTTCTTTAGGATAATATTTACCTTGCAGCTTCTGAGGGTGAGTAAAAGCTAAACATTCATTTGGCATGGCTACTCGTGACCGCATAAAAGTAATGGAAGGTAAAGTGCTCTTGACTGGCTGCCTTCTATTTGTTCAATTGCTACAAATTAGGGGCGGCGGCCGATAGCCTTAGCAGGTTTGCCATAAATAGAAAATCTTCACCTCCAGTGCCTCAGTATAAAGTCTAAAGCTTACAACACCAACAATCGGATTTCGATACCTGCGTTGTGTACAGAACAGGTAACCCACTGTGTATCTGTGAGCTTAACAACAAACAAACAATGAATATAAAATGTTAATACAGAACTTTAACAATTAGTAAAAACTAATTGCTATGTTTGTAAATATTTTTCGAGTGTAGTCTAACAGCTACAAAAAATTAATGTATATGTCTATATACACAGCGTGGTCACAAGTAAATAGACACCTAATTTTTCGTCATTTAACTGATTTATACTTACTAATTTGTGTTCACAGAGCACTATATAAATGAATTATCTTGTGCTACAACATGCCTGGAACTCAAGGTTCTCTCG